ACCACATACCACACCAGTAATTTTATAGAAATGAAAATAAAATACAAACAATAGGTACATGAATGAATGCTTGTCAAAGCCCACTGAGCATTTTTATGTTCAACAGTTGGTGGTAAAACATCATGCACCCACACTAGTAATATTTACAGCATCCATAGCCCTCTCTCAGCTGCTACCTGTTGGGGCCTGGGTATCTGTCTTTATGTTGAACATCTCAATCATACATAGAAACATTTTGACCCTTTCGTCCTAGTGATCGAGACGCCATGTTGAAAGACTGTGAAGTAGGGCTGCCCCATAGTCGACCAAACATCAGTCAACCAGAAAGGTCATTAGTCAGACAGATTTCATTGGTCGCTTAGTTGCAGAAAAACAAACAAACAAACAAACAAACAAACATGAAACTCAATGAGCAGCTGTGCCTTGTAAAAACAAATCAAAATCTATATGACTGGACCGTGTGGGACTTTTAATTTGAAAGGACAGACACAGAAAGAGGCCCCGCTCAGCAGTCAGACAGGAGTCACGTTACAAACCAATCACAGCCAACAGATATCTTTCCCTTCTTCTGTAAATATTCAGTCTGATAAATATGGAAAGTTGATCATTTTCGTGCAGGGCTACCCAGAGCTTTACATCTGTCCCACAGTCGACAGGCCTACACACTTATAAACAGCACCTGGAAGAAGATCAGCTCTGCACTCAGGATTTCAGGTAAATAGGCTATACAATGCTTGATAACCTAAGATGAAACCTGTCGCAGCGCTCTTGAAAAGTGGCACAAAAAAGGCACAGGAGTAGCACCCAGCACCTGACGTCATGTTTTCCAGGCGGTTAAAGACACTGCATGTGTACAGCCCCTAATTTCCAGGGCTGGTACCTGTGGTTATTCCACAGGCTAGTTAATAACATGTTGGGCAGGAAATCCAAAGTGTGGGATCATTTTGAGAAGGTGAAGGACTAACCCAAGGTGATATGTAAACTCATCTTCATTTGTCGACTACAAACATGACGTATCATCTGAAACATGGAAGTAGCTACATGCCCATTAGCCACTTAGCACATTCATTACTGCTTTGCAGACAGCATCATTAACAGGCGTGCACTTGTAGATAAAATATAGGCCTATATTAATGAAGGTTCATTAGTATGGTTTTGTATTTCTCTGTAATGTAGCAGAGTGTTGACAATGTTACTGATAGTATTCTTTCACAGGCCTTCAACTCAAACCATTGTGCTGCCCCACCCAAAATATATAGTTTAATAACTAAATTTATATCTTAAACATGCAGGTGACTAGTCGACTAATGGCCCTAAATGATGACAATTGGTCGACTTGGAAAATTCTTAGTTGATGGCAGCCCTACTAATCAACACTCTATAGCATTAGTTATAACCTTGGCATGGTCCGATTTGCACTGTTAGGCTGCCGGATTGATGCCGGGAGAAGGACTCGCCTTCCAGTCTGCTTTTGTCTCGTTCCACTAATCCACACCTTCAGGTGATGCTGTCGTAAAATGCAATCCTGAGAGCTCTGCCTCCTAACAAGAGCTCAATGGGCTGTAACTGCAGCAGTCATGGTGGCAGAGGGTTATTCTTAATAAAGTCACTAGAAGGTCTGATAAGTCGTCAAATCTAGTGAGGAAGTGAGTTTCCAAGCTGGCAACACTGAGGGCACCACTGTAAAGGAAAGAGGTGCGCTGGATCTTTTACACAAGACAAAAAGAGAGCATCGTTGTGAAACGGAATGCATCACTATACATTTTTTATCTTGGTTATCTTGTTTTCATAATAGTTGGAAGCTGAAGTCGTAATTCAAAATAAAATTTACTATCTACTATTGCTCAAGCAAAATTTCCCCACCTTGGGAAAATATAATCTATCTTATTGTTTCATAACATTCAGTAACAGCTTCCCTGATGTTACATGATGTAATTCATAAACTCTTCACAATATAATTACAATATAATACACAATGAGGACTTGGAATGTGGCTTTACCTCACATCCATAAACATCTGCAGGGCACCTGTTTTTTTACTCGATGTTATATTAACAACTTGGCCTGATTTCAAACTAACATATATATACCTCATACCTCATTATGTAAGTATGATTCCAGTCAATAGAAGAGCAATAAATCCAATATAATGTCTATGCTGTGAAGAACACAGACAAAGAGAACAGCAGCCCACCATAAATCAGTTTCTATGTGGCTGAAGTCAGTGAGGTGATGCATTTGACCTTCTGCACTGCTGTTGAGACTGACAGTGTTGGTGCAAGCCTATCAGGAGTTGTGGTGTCAGTTTACCTGTTTATTACGTACACCTGGCTAAAGCATATGCAGGCTAGCCCTCCAAATAAATCCTTCCTTCATGAAGATTATAGTGTTCAATAAACTGTAGCGGCTCATACTGAGAGATGGTTCTAATATTTAGTCTCATACCCTCATTGATTGACATGAAATCGAGCTTGGGGAAGCACTCTTCACTCATCGACTCCCAACCCCACTTGAAATGACACCTGAAGGGAATCCTTACACAATAACTTTTATGCCCATTCACAACTCCAGACTCAAATATGCTCAAGTATTTTCACAAACTTGTGGAAAGCAAACTTGTTGAAGCTTTCATCAATAAATCCAAATGTGTCTGTTGCAATGAACCACAGGTTTTCACAGTGGGCTCCTGAACAGCCCCTGTATCAGTTATATCAGATGCTGTGTGTGGTTACGTGTCTCTTTCTCTACAGAGTGAATTATGAACCAGCATGCAGGTGAAACCCACATAAAAAAAGTTGATTTGTTCTCCCTCAGGGGAAGAGGTTCAGCTACTGTGCTCATCTCTGCATAACTAGAATTTTTGTCCCACCAGCAAAAGACAAACACCATATCATCAATATAATTTGTGAACAGACAGGAACTGTTTTAAGACGTCCCTTAATGTCGTCTTCTAACAACAAGTACTGATGGAGGCTCTTCTTTAATGATGCATTATCCTGTGGCAATCACTGCTGAGGAGCCTTTGAGTGAGGCACTAGAAAAACAATCCATCAGAGGTTGTACTGCTCAGCTTCCAGGTGTGAATATGGCTAACTGTGTCTGAACACCAGACATGACTGTACAGGTTAATCCCTTGTAGGGATAGGTACCCAAACCCAGTACTAAATTAGCCCTGGGGCTAAATTATCAAAGACCATAGTATTGATAAGCTCTGATGTTATCAGTTCTTTTATCGGTACTTTTACACATTTTGTTTAATTCATTATCACCCTGCAGCCTCTACCATGTGCTCTGTGCCGGGGCTGACCTCCTCCACGTACATACACAAACATCTAACACCCACATGACATGGTAAACAGTGAACAGCAGAGAGGCAGAGGTGGAAATGAAGTGAAGATAACTCGAAAACTACTTGTGTTGATGGCAAGTACGCTTGTTACTCTAAGTGCAATTAAACCTTAGCGAGTAAAAGGCTAATACTTAATCAAAACATGTGTTCAGCAAGCATTAACATGTTAACATGTAGACAGTGATATTCAATATGCTCGGTCCACAGTCTCTCATCCACCACCACTAACGTTATCCCTTACACACTGATTTAGACAGCACACAAGTCTGAAACCAAACAGTTTTGTCTTTGGGTTTAATTTTCTGTTCTAATTATTTGCAGCTTGTTTATTATGAATGATGTATGATGATGAATGTAAAACATGATTTTCACTTTTGCTCTCATTAACTCTCATTAAACAAACACCTCATTTAGATTTGCCAAATAGGTCACATTTAAATTTTGAGGAAAACTCTGCCTCCTGTTCAATTTAGTTTTTCTGTATTTTGGGAGCTTGACATTAAGCCTAACACCGGACCGGACCGGTGAACCAAATTTGACCAAATGTCCGATTTGACTCAGCAGCCACTCCTGAGTGGAACATAATAACACTGTGTCCGAACTGCAAACAAGTGTCTGATCATGTTGCATGGTGTAACATCAGAGCTCTCTGTCCGCACTGAGTGCATTAAATATGCCCTTTTGTTACATAATCAAACCAGCTATCAGTTGTGCACTCGAGATCAGACTGAGACAAAGGCTGAATCCAAATGTCCGCACTTCACCGCACTTGCAGACTCGCAGATTTTGGGGCGCATTCCCGGGAAGTCAGGGAGTGCTTAGGGCTGTCCAAATCCACAATTCAACCAGACAACAAGGGGCTTTAAGCAGACTTTCTGCATAATTCCAGGGAGTCTGCTTGAGGTGCACATTTCACTGATTGAATTTCCCACAATTCACTGCAATACAGATGTGACGTGGTAGGTTCTTTTTTCAATAGCCGACTGAGAAAAACAAAACACGGTATCTGTAAAAAAGTTACTGTGCCTGTTAAAACAATACGTGAATCATTTAGGCCAGAAATAACATCATGATACAGAAAAATTTAGAAATATAGGCTACAGAGAGGAAATGTATTGTATTATTGCAGCCTACCCTATACTGTAGGTTTGCACAGGGTAATGCCAAATATATGGGCTAGAAAATCGGCTGAAAAACAACAAAAGAAGATGTAACTAATAGGCCTACATGGTTTATGTAGTCATAGCTCTGTCCCGATTTCAAAACATATTTAAATGTCTGCAGTCTGTATGTTATACAGAAATGTATTTTGTTTCACACTGCACTGTCAGCGCAGGATGCTGATGCAGTTATAACATGTTCCAGTGACAAATGCTGGTTCTGCTGGTTTGCTTAAAATCAAACTGATTTAAGCTCGGACACAAAACCAGAAATTGACCCAACTCTATCAAATTGTTTTACAGAACACTTCAAATCAGTCCACAGAATTACAACTAAATCAGTTTTCTTTTGGAGAACTCTCAAAACAAAACAGACAGTCTGGAATGAAACAACTCCCTCTACGGTTCAGGTGAAAGAGTTATTCTAAAAGTGTCAGTAAAGCAAACTGTCTGAAATACAGACTCCAGTGTTTTCAGGACCTGGATCTTACCTGGCTGTGTGGTGTAAATGACCTTGTAGCTTTCAAACTGTCCTTTTGGCTCTTTCCATGACACATGCAGCTTAGTGGGGCTCAGGACTTTGGCACGGAATCTCCTTGGTGATGAAACTGGACAGAGAAAACACTTAATTAAAAACTTTGCATAACAGCTGTCAGTTTAACACATACTGTAAATATGTGATTGATAAATGAATGAATAAAAGATCCTTGTCATGCAACGTCCATACCACAAATATTTTGATCTCATTATTAGAAAAACTGCCGTCATCAGTGCGTATTAGTGGAATACATCCATAACAGTGGATGGAGCTCAATTTTGTTCAGTCAGTGGTTGATATAAACAATTTTACATAAACTGCTTTAGATGAGAATTTCCAACAGATATAGTCTGCTTTCAAACGGCACAGAATTAATAACACAATAGGTTGAACCAACAACAGATGTGCTGTTCTGCTGTGCCCAAAATCAAAAGTACATATTTTTCTTCTTACCTGTATGCCACTTATTAACAGATTGTTTTGGCATGACTTGTCAAGTGTTGGAGGTGTCAGCCATAGATTTATCTGCCTTGGCTCCAATATAATGGAAGTGGATGGCATGCAGCTTGTAGTGTTTTAAAAAATAAATAAATAAGTAAAATACATTTGAAAAACTGTCAAACTGTGTCTTACCAGAAATCATGACCTGAGGCCAGTACTACGAAGCCAGTTCAGCTTACCCAGGATATCTTTTCATTATCTGGTTTGACTAACCCATCACATTGGCTGTCTGGATAACTGGTACTACAAAGCTGGTTAACAACTAGTTCAGTCAACTCTGGGTTTTCCTATCCAGCCACGAGCATGTTCATGTGAAAGAAGCGGGTGTGTTCATTATAAGTGACATCATCAGAACCATGAATGAAGGAGGCTGCTTCATATAAGATGAAACAGTACCAATAGTGTCTGTGACCGTGAGACAGTAATATGGCAGTGGTATGGGATGTAAACAATACTCTGTAATCTTGTGACAGTAAATGTAGAAACATTCAAATTAAGATCCACTGTTGGCCAAGACTTAAATTACGTGTAGGTATCAGTAAGCTATGGGCCTATGTGACATCGACACATTGACTATTTTTTACTGTTTAGTTAGTTAATGATGAATATGTCAAATAAAACAATTTAAAGACTGTTTCTTCTACTGAAGTAACGGGTGAAAAAGTACCCTAGATAATGACTGATGAGGTCTACCTGACCGAATGTGGCATTTATAACAATGGGAGCCAGTTAACAGTGTGTGGATTATTTTACTGATAAAATATTATCTGTTTTATCCTAGTTCTCATCACACAGGTGTCTCATGTGATTCTGAGCTGTAGTGACGGATCAGAGTGTAAAAGCAGCAGCACTGGCAGCGATCACTGCGGACTAAAGTAAACTTTGCATAAGTAAAAATCCTTCTAAAATCATGTGTTTATTGTTGTAAACAATCTCTCCATTTGTCAGAAGCTCTGTTTTAAAATCAGCGGATAGAGAGCCCTGGAACAATGAAACGATTCTACTGACCTTTAACAATATACAGTATTGGTTTGTCTTTTTTACCCGAGACTTGTTTTGTCAATGGATACTTTTTTCTTCAGTGAACGGATTGGTCAGAGGTTGGGGTGTTGACAGGCTGTAATTGGATACTCTGAACATAACCTGCTCTGCAGCAGGTTAGCTGTTAATCATAAGTTACCATGGCGATTCAATCTCGGTAAAAAGAGAACCAGCTTCGCAGTACAGAAAACCCAGAATTAACCCTGAAGTTACCTCACTAACTACAAATCCTGCTCCGTAGGCCTCTGATTACTCAAGATAATCCACAGACCCTGTTGTGAGCAGTTTAATGTAGGAACTATTTTTTTTCTATCCAACTTCACCTGCCAAACAGATCACTTGATTGTAACGAGGTGTACCTAATAAAGTGGTCAGCAATACATGATGTCAAGTGCTTCTGATTTTCTACTGCATGGTGATACAGTTGGTGGGTGTAGCTCAGCAGAAAGAAAATAGTTCCTACATGAAACTGCTCACAACAAGGTCTGTGGATTATCTTTACTAAGTGGGTCATGATTTCTGGAAAGAGACATTGCTGTTGAATTTGAGAGCCATCTACTTCCATTATATTGGAGAGAAGTCAGAAGTCTCTATGGCCGATATTGCCAGCACTCTGCAACTGACACCAGCAGTCCAGCTTGATCAATACCACTGCAGGTAAGACGTAATATGTGTTTTGATTTCTGGGTGATCTGTCCCTTTAACAGTGAATGTCAATTTATCCTTAAATAGTCACAAGCAGCATCACTGTTTAGGATGTTTTACAGAACTGCAGGTTTCACAGAATCTGCTCTCCTTCTGTTTTGTGCTCGTTTATCCACTAAACACAACTGTGACAGAGTTAAGTTAGACTGAACTCCCTCCAGAGTTATGGCGGCGTAGAGGCAGTCGCTCCATCTGTGTTTTTAAACAGTTAGGAGAGAAAATAAATAAAGAAGGATAAGTTGTATCTCATCCAAGCAGGAGGATACACATCAGAGAGATTAGCTTGCACAGATGTCACATTAAAAAGCAAAGTCCCATTCTCCTGCTCCCCCTCATCCTCATCTTCCTCATCTATTGACAAGCCCGTATTGTGCTTGTCTCTGTGGGGATACGACAGGTCTTCTTCTGTGTTCCACTTACCGGCGGCATCAAAGCGACGCCCCTGCCTCTCATCCTGATTAGTTGTTGGCCCTGTCAGCCGCCTTGAGGCCTACCCCCCACTTTTCTCTCTGTATCCTTCCCCTACATTCATTTTCTCAAGCTCACGCTCTCCATCTCCGTCTCCTCATCTGTCCCTCTGTCTTTCCCTTTCCATCTGATCCCTCCATGTCCTGATCTCATTTTCTTTCCTTTCTTTCCTCTCTGTGTCTCTGTGCTTTGAAATTGTCGTCAGGGGTAAGAAGAGGATGAGAAAAAGGAGTGAATGTGACTTCCTTTTAACTGCAAGGAGAAAAAGAACAAAGGGCACCAAAGGGAAAGGCACTGGAATAGCATCTGTTTACTATTCCTCTCCTGTCCTCAGCAGGAGTGTTTAGATGTACAACACAGAATGACTAGATCCACTGAGCTGCACAGTATCCAAATACGCTTTACAATGGCCTCAACCTGTGTATAAACCCTCAGAAAAGGCAACAACACTGTGTTAGCAAAACTTGTTTCCCTTGTACACAAGATCGGATTTCACTCAGCTCCCACACAGTGTTATTGTGTTTTCACATTAAGGCACAGGTTAAAACACTGGATTAAGGCCATTGTCAAGCACTGCAATGCCAAAAACCACATTTCCATGGTCAACAACCACAACACCCCATCCTTTTCACATCGGCAGAGCCAAATCCCAGATAATAATCATGTATCTAGAAGCAACACATTCCCCAATCTAATTTGGTTAACTATGAAAATAAAAAAAAGAAAAGCCAGGGGGAGGGGGGGCGGGGGGGGGTAAAATATGAAACCCACAAACTCGTTCCTGTGTTTGTGTCCTCATTATGAGGTGAGCCATCTGCTGCCGCCGACTTCTTTAAATACCTACACTGTGATTGACGCCTGGTAGAGCTCTGATGCTCTGGCACACAATAAACAAGGGGCTTAAAGGGATGGTTCACCCAAAACAAGACATAATGAGAAAAACATATTGACTCAGGAGGGTCTTATTATTGCGTGTCTGTCTGGGGTGAAATGCATACATGTTGTCTCAACATATGACACATGGTAACAATATGCTATAATGTGGCAACAGATTGTTGTTTGTAATGTGCCGCCAAAGGTAAAAAGACAGCTTTGTTGCAAATGATAACATTTTAAAGAGAAACTGTCTGTTTTCTTTAGCTTTTCTAAACTGATTTATCCACTCCCCTGCAGCTTTCTCCACAATACAGGATTTAGTCAAGCTGATAAAACCTATCAACAAACACCTCTGCAGCATTTTGGATGAACCGCCTCTTTATGCATGTCATTATCTGCAGAACACTACTCATGTAGGTATGCAAAGAAACTTGAGTTTAGCACAGGAAGGATAATCCTGATTTCAATGGAGAGAAATATGAAGCCGGCGCATTCAACAGCAGGCAAATATATTTATATACAAACACATATAAGAAATACTGTACCAATTATCTCACCAACCTGGGGATGAGAATGCGGGCTGCATGGGATTTCAGCTCAGGGTTTAGCTCTCTGTCTCGGAAACAAAGGACATTCTCTCGTCTGGAGAGAGCTGCTCAAATCCCAAATGATTCGAGAAGCAGATTTTGCACCTCTCGGTTTGTAGTGTAGTTGGAATGTGATGAGTGTGTTGTGTGTACCAGTGTGAATGCATCGACATGTGCATGTGTGTGCATGAATTATACATGCTCATCCGCAACTGGAGGCAACTGTACTCTGGTGTGTGCACATAAAAATCCATGAAGCTTTGGTGGTTGTTTTTTTTCTCACGCCTGTTAAGAAAACCTGCCGGTTCCTTTGCAGCACATACACACATACACACACACACTCATTCACAGAAAGCCAAGGATCTTCTCAGTGAGATTGTATTTTCACGCAGAGACAAGTATTGGATGCTGAGCAAACAGTCGGGTGAAGACAAAAGGCCTTGCCTGTAGAGATGAGAACTTAATTCTCATCTATTTTTCATGGAGAATCTTGTGCAAACAGCACAGCCGTCTGCTGCCGAGTGTTGGAGAGGTGTCCATCACACCCACCGGGAGTTGTGCAGCACGCAAAGTTTTGAGAGCGTTTTAAATTATTAGTGAGAGTAGGAGAATCCAGGAGACATTATTAGGTGAAGGGATGGTGTTAGGCTGAGTATAGAAAATGGTAAAACTCTTGTTTGCCAGTAGGAAGCTTTGTAGGGAGCTATAAAGGGATGATGGAAAGTTTTCCAAATTGAAAGTCACTTTTAGTTTGCAAACATGTCTTTAAGAAAAGAACCAGGGCCTGTGTTGTCACTGCTGAGAGCAGACGCTCTTTAAGATGCTACACAGAGCATTACAACACCAATGAATCACATTAAATTTCACAGCTGTATTTTTCACAGTATATTTA